AAATGACCTTTTTCCCAGACCCCCATATGGTTAGCTGCATGAGGACCTGCTGGCTTCTGCTGTCTGGTACCTAACAGGCTTAAGGTCCACACTCTTGACCCCAGCTGAGGTTTTCTGTGCCCTTCATTCCAGTGGTGAAGGGCAAACCAGCATATGGTAGGAAGGAAAATGTTTGTTCCTGAATTTATAGCAGAACTCCTCTAGTTCTATTTCAGTCTTTCCTCTGCCCCTGGTGCATGTGTTTTTCTATCAGGAAACAGGCTTGGGCCCACCTTACCCCACTGATCCTATTCCAAAGAAATGAAATCTGGAGAGAAGTCAGAAATCCCAAACTACAACCTGTTTCCTAGATTCAGAACTGAAGGCTTTTCATTCTGAGCATTGAAAGTGTAGCCCACCCTGTGGCACCAAGGCCCAAGACATGTCTTTATCCTGGCACTGACCTCCAGAAAAGGCTGGGGATGGGCATCTTATATGGCCTCTAGTTGAAGGAATAGTGGGACTAGAGGGACAGAGAATGGGCACTGGGTAGGAGGAATCTGAGACCAGGGAGGTCCAGTTGGTCAGATAAAGGCAAAAGCATCACCAGGGCCCGAGTGGTAACTGCTTGCCTTCTCACATGGCCACTCCATGTCAAACAGACCTGTCAAGCTCAGCATGTCCAGGACCAAACTCTAGGTTTGACCTTCCAGCTCTTCCTTTTCCAGCCTCTCCATCTTGATGACTCTAACCTTTCAGTGGCTCCAGACAGAGACCTCATCCTTGATTCTTGGTGCCTTTTACTCCTCATGTCCAGCCCTTCAGGAAATCTCAAAGGCTTTACCTTCCAAATAGAACCTGATTATTTTTTTGCCTACTCTCAGTCTGTTCTAAACTTAATCTTTCAAATATTATGACTCATAGCTTGTTCATCTCTGCTCAGAACCCTGAAAGTGCTCTCCATGTCCCTTGTGATTAAGATCAGATTCCTATACGTTCTCACATGGCTCTCTCATCTATCCCAACCCCTGCAGTGACCTCTCAGTGGTCACTGGACCTCACTCTCCTCTGGCTGTCTTGGCTTCTTTGCCATTCCTCATTGCTAGGCACATGCCTGCTGTGGTCTTTGCATGAACTATTCTCTCTGTCTGGAATGCTAGAACATTATTCTCTGACACGTGCACAGCTCACCCTCCCCCACTATAACATTGACCTTCAGAAGCAGTTGACTGTTTTGATTTGGCGTCATGGAGATTATCCATGGTTTCAGGCAGTGAAACGGATCCTTTTATGGAAGTGTGTAGCCTCCTTGTGTACTGATTAACTAGAAGAAACTGCTGCTGACTTTTAAGACAACTGCGACTATCTAGAGGTGTCAGTAGCACATTGAAGATTTCAGGGAGCACGTTTTGCCGTGGGGCAGCATATCGAAGTCAAGCTGGCTGTCATGGGTTCTCTGGCTCACCCTGTGCAAGGTCTGTACTAATTATTTCAGTTAAGATTGTAGGCATTCTTGTTTACAAGATCAATGCAAATAGCATCTAGGGAATGTTTGGTGTCATTTGTTGTATCAACTTTATTGTTTGAAGCTTAATCATGCAGTGATACCTCATCTAAACAAATGATGCAGTTATAATTTTTCTGTTTTAGTCGACTTACTTGAATTTTTTTTTTTTTTTTTTTTAAGTTTTTGCTGTAGGGTGCATGCGTTCTCTGGAGAGAGACGGAAAGAAGGAGCTGAGAAATCACCCCTTCAGGGGGAATGGCCACATCATGATGCTTTCTCCTCTGTTCTCCTAGAATTTGAGACATGCACTCACACTTGCCTAGTGTGGTTTTTCAAGTCTCTGGGTCTGGGATGCAAACCTTGTTGTTCTACCCACACCATACCACCTGCTGCCCCCTTGTTTTGGACTTTTATTTCCTTTGTTTTTATGTTAGTTTCCAAAAAGATATTCCTATAAAAAATTTTAAGTATATTTGGTGCAAGGAACGTAGGTTTGAAATCAGAGGACATCCATTTTAGTTTTAGCTTTATACTGCTAAGAATCTAAGCAAGGTCATGGTATTTCAATTTTGTTTCCCTATTTCTCATCTGTGGAATGAGGATTCTAGTTTTCTGACTCATGGTATTCATGTGGTTGTTGCTAGACTCAAATGTGATTCTGTGTCTGCATGTGATCTGTGGAAGGCACTGAAGGGACTATTGGCTGCCCCTCAGCACGTAGTGTTATTTGGATGCATCGGAAAACAGACTTGTCTTGGGACACAAAAACATCAACAATGACTTCAAAATCAGACTCCTACTTAGCTTTAGCTGACTGCTACTGGGTCTGCTGCTTCTTAAATTTAGTTGAAAACATGTCTGTTCCAGTGTCCACCATCCTCTTATGTGCTAGTGTTCATGGAAGCAGGCCTTGTATCCTGCCTGCCCTTTTCCCACGTGTGAACAGGCACACACCACACTGTGCTCAGCAGTTTGCTTTCATGAGCAGCAGCAAAGATGGAACCTGTCTTCAGTCTAGGAGCTTATTCACAGAGGACCTCTCCTCTTCTATAGATTTCATTTAGTTCACTATTGAGTGTTTGCCATGTACCAGGCACTTGGTGAAACTGGGCATGAAATGTTTCTTTCTTCCCAGAGAAGTGACAAACATCTGACTACCCCATGTCAGGATACATTTAGTGACGAAAGTTCAGCTACTCCGCTGCTGGGACACAGAGGTGGTGAGAGGTGGCAGTACTAGGTGTGACCCATTTAGATGTGACTTCCTCCCATGCTTTTACTCTGTTATTTTATCCCTTCTCTACCTAGGGGCATAGAACCAGCCAGAGAATTAGTAAGGGTGTACAATGGACTTTCTAGGGAAGCCCCAACATCAAATATTCTACTGTAGTCATCAACTATTCTACTGCTTCTCGATTTGGAAATTTTAGTTACCATAGGGGACATGAAATATTTGCTGTTTTTGTTTTAGGGGCAGGGGAGCAGGGATGTGTCTGGGGATCCACAGTACTTGGATAGTGGCCAGATGGTCCCTGTCTCCAGCCTGGCACTTAACCTGCCCCATTCCTCCCAGTCTTGGTCTCCACTGGAGTGTTTCCTCTGTCTTATTAACTATGACATGTATGCATGGGACACCTACTGTGCATTGCACACTCCCCTGGGTAGCCGAAGGGGTAAAGAGAGGAGGAGATATACTTGCCACTCTCCTGGAGCTTCTGTTATTAGAGAGGCAGATGACTTAAATCACAGAATGGACAACTCCAGATTGACCAGGGCAGGAAACAGGGGGGACCAAGGAACCATCATCTGTTCCTTTCACTTTACTGAGCAGAGGTCTGAGGCCAGAACAGTCAAATGTCCAGGTGTTATAGTTATTCCTTCTGCCATTTCCAGTGACCTTTCCCTCCCCTACACTCCTACTTCTTCAAACAAGATTCTTGCTGCCAGGTTTCCTTTTCTTCTTTGTTCTAGCAACAGGTTTAGAATAGGGAAGGAAGGACAGAGGCCTTCTTTACACTCAGGAACTTCTGTCTGAATAACCATTCACAAGTATGAGGGTCCTTCATAAAGTTCATGGGAAACTATGTTCATATGAAAAACTATGCATAGATTTTTTTTGGGGGGGGCACTAAAATAAATTTGTACTTTAATTTGATTTTCTCACAAACTCTTTGAAGTCCCCTTGTAAATAACATCTATAGTGTGGAGGGAGCATGGCGTGCTGGGAGCAAGATTGCAGTTTTTAGTAGGGTGGCCCAGAGGTCAGGCCTCTCTGAGAAGGTGATATTCGAGGAAGGGCCGAAAAGGATCTGAACAGGATGAAGCCTGCAGGGCATTTCACTGAAGGGGAGAAGACAGAGGCAGTGATCTGTTGGACATCACAGGTCAAGAGGACTGTTCGGAGTTCCAGATCATCTTCTCTTGATGCAGCATAGGAGTTTGTACATTCCTAGTGTAGACTGATTTGCCAAGTCTGAAGTAAGCAATAAAAGACCTGTTTTGTGAGGTGTTATTGAGGCATGGTAGCAGTAAATGTCCTATGTTGCTGGAAGTCCCAAGTGTAAATGGTGGGGACCGGAGTTGGGTTACTGGACACTTTTGCCTTATCATGGATAACACAGAGAAGGTGACATTCTCCACTCACCTTGTGCACTGCAGTTACTTTCTAACTGCTGGTAAGGTGTGTCAATGATGCCCCAAGGTAGACCCAGGAGGACCATGTGTCTGGTGTTCTAGACCTCACACAACTATATGGGCTTCTGCATTTGTGAGGGATGTCTCAGCAGGA